TAGAAGTTTTTCCAAATTTCAAGTCCAAGTTCAAAATTGAAGAACCACTTTTTTTTTGGCAGACTAACGATCAGTTTTGAAAAATGTAATTAGTATTAAAATTACATAGGTATTTCGTTGTGAAATCTACGCTGTTAACAATTTATAATTTATGTGGAGTAATAAATAGTCGTTAATTTGTTAAAAAGTATCAAAAATGCAATTCAAAACCTGTTTTTAACAAAACACACATTATACGGTTTGTTACGCGCACAGCACCCACATCATAGTAACTCATTTACATGATTAGCTATAACTTTGTACTTAGTAATGTTTATCCATATCAACCATATCAAAAAAGTCGTTAGACACATAGAATATAATTTAAAATGCGCATGTGCAATTAAAAAAAAATTAATTAAATATTTTAAAACAAAATTATTTTATTATATATTATACTGGACAAATGAGAAAAAGAGTAAGAGTGAAAAAGGATATTAGAAAAACGTAACGTACTCATTTTCCTCCTAATTTCCGATCGATACCCTCGACATAGATAAATAGATACAGGCAATGCAATAATTAAATTTTACTTAAAACCGTTAATTTTCCAATGTTTGCTTTAATACGATCGATTTAACAGCGAAAACAAATTGACTTTTCAACACCATTCTCGATTATTACCGACCCTTTGAACTTATCAGAATGGCCAAAACGATCTCCATTTAATAACCAAGATATGGCCTGTAGAGGTTAATTTGGTGTGATCCCCGGACAGCCACTTCCGTTTCCAATTAGTCCTCTATGCAAGGAATAGGTTTCAATTTATCTTTCGAACCATTGACTAGAGGTTTCGTTAGGATTTCATTAATCAAAGAGGGCGAAACTCTAACGAATTTTGAGGTTCACTAATTCGGAAAATTGGAAGAGTAGTTTGGACAAATTTTCGCGGTACCGGTGAAAGGGATCCACGAAATAAGTGATCAGAAAGTAACTTGAAACGTGATAGGTTCATACATCAGCCATATACTTCCGGAAAAATATGTTCTCTTTCCTTATAGAAATAAAATATATAAAAATTAAGTAAATAAATAAAACCCAAGTTAAGTTATTGCAAAAGTTTAAAGATGAAACATACCAATGCATAAAAAAAAAATTAAACGCCAATTTTTAATTAATTTTATTAAGTAAAAACTTATAAATTAAAATAATTTTAAATTTTAAATAAAAATAATCATTTTAAATAAAAATAAAATAAATTTAAATTTATATCATTTTTTGAATTATTTTTTATGTCAAGCACAATAATTACTAATTTAATTAAAATTTGGTGGTGCATTTTAAACTCAACTGCACTGGTATGTTATCCAAATGAGCAAAGCGATTTTATACTAATATTATAGGTGTTTCTGTAAAATTCTATGTTCTGCATTTGTATAATTTGTATAATAATTGTCAATGCAGCACGGGAATAATTCTTGATCTCATTTTAAGAACAAAAACTTCATATGAACGTATGACATAAACGTTGTAACTTTTGAGATAGAGAGTGGCAAGTTTTCAGAGAATTTGTTGCTTCAAAAATGGCGGACGGACGCCAGTGGTAGGAATAAAATTGACAATTTCGCAGTTTCTTAATGGGAGATAAACCATTATTAAATTGTAAAACTGGGCTTTCTAAAAATGAAAAAATTATTAATCTAAATGCAGTGAAAGCTCTTCATTGCATCCATGGGTAAGAAGAAATGGTGGAAAACTTTAAAGAAAATGAATTTTCGACTCAAACTCAAAACAGAAAATTGCTTAACTTAAAAACAGAAGGAAATCTGCTTCACAAACACTGTAGAGTCTTTTATTATTTTTTATTATTGTATAATATTTCATATAACTATTATTTCTAAAACGGCTATAATTCATCTGACTAGTCGGAACATGTTGACGTAGTGCAATTTGAAATAGTAGATTTTAAAAAAAAATCTATATTTATTTCCATATTATTCTTGGTGCTTCTTTTTCTTCTTCTTAGTTTTTGATTACTTGATCTTCATCTCAATTATCCCACCAAATTTATAATTATAGTCATGTAAATAATCAATTTAGTTGATATTTATTATTCGAATAAAATACCTGTTATCACGCTGGCGTCATATTAGTTTCTTTGACCAAACTTATCTTTCTATTGTGTGCAAATTTGTTTGACACTAATTTCAAAACGATTTGAGGTGTCTTAAAAACTGAAATAGAAAACGATATAACCTTTAAATTTTTCACCCTGTTGAATGACTCCTGCCATTGCAAATTTACATTTTATTACTCTCTCGTATTAAGAAACATAGCACAGCATTAGCTGTGATTGCTGAAGTAACAATCTCTATAAAGAACTTTGGGTCCTTACGTAAAATATTTTAATGACAAATTCGCCTTATCGAAAATCTAACCATTTATTTAATTAAAGTTTTTATTAATGCACTCCCTCTAATATTTCTTCTCTATGAAACTTTGGAAGTCTCCTTGGAATTTTCCTTATAGTTCAAATTATTGCTGGACTATTTTTAGCTATACATTATTATACTAATACTGAATTCAATAGGGTAAGAATCATTTGTCGTGAAATTAACTTTGAATGATTAATTCGAACTCTTCAAGCTAATAGAGCTTCGACATTCTTCATTTGTATGTATATCCATATTTACTATTTGACAAATTTTTTATTATCTATATTAAGAGCTTTTTTAGTTTACGTTTTACCTTGAGGTCAAATATCTTTCTGAATGGCTACTGTTATTACTAATTTCATCTCAGCTATTCCCTATTTAGGAAACTCTATTGTAATTTGAATTTGGGGGGATTTGCTGTTAATAATGGTACATTAACTCGTTGTTTTACTTCTCATTTTAGATTTTTTTTTAAATTCAGGATTGACACTCCATAAGGAACACCCCGTATTGAGTCATCTAGGGTGATTTAAAAATTCTGCCATCCTTGGTGAGTCAGTAACGCGATCCTTGGGGACGTAAATCCATAAAATAATGTGTACGACGTAATTTCAGGCAACGCCTCCCGCAAAACACCGTGGCTTCCTTTACATTGTTTTCTTTTGTTGGCGTTCTGCAGTTTCCAGCGGAGTAAGCAAATCCCATCCTATAAAACGTTGTTTGTTCAAGACAATTTATTTGCATGCAGACATCAAGGTTTTTCTTTCAAAGGCTCGCTTTTTTACTTAAAGCTTTTAAAGTGCTTTAGTTGTTTTACAGCTTTGAAATGGGGCTTAAATTCTCTCAGACAATTTAATGACATTTCAAACGAAACTTCGCCCCTTTGTGAGATTTCGTCCGAGTTTTACGGGTATAATTAGTATTATCTCACCATTTTTATATTCAAAGGTCTGTGTAGACGACTCTTCCATTCACAGTCGCCAAGAAAGCTGCTATCTGGAAGTTGGAAAACCGAAAACGTAGTTTTAAAAGCGCAAATAAACTCTTGGAGTCTTTTTTGTAACCATCGTAAAATGTGTAAAAAATTTTTGTTTAGCCAAAAATCGACATCTTGTTGGCTTCTTCAGAGCTTGTCTGAAACTGGCTCGTATTTTACTCTGTACCTGCAATGCCAGCAATTTCGACTCGGCAAAAACCGACGCAGGAGGAATCCAGAAGTTTTGTAAAAAAAAATTATTACAGTAGCCTGTGGAAGTTTCCCTGAAAATTTTATTTATTGTCATTTACTATTTACAGATTCATTTTCTGTATATTTTAGTTATGACGTGCAACATAAAAATTATTTTTTATTGGTACATACCGGGGTACACTTATACCCCGTATCGTATGCCAAAATACTCATTTTGATTAGTCACGGTCATGCGCAATACAGTAAATATCAGCTGGTGTCAGAAATGATAGATTCTGAAGATGATATCATAGAAGAAATAAATAACGGTGGTGCTCTAATGAGTGAAATAGTGTCTGAAGATGTGATTACAGTAGAAGAAAATGACAGTGGTGCTGTGGGCAGTGCAATAGCGACTGACGATAGTTAAGAAATCTTAGAAAAAGGTAGATTATCTTATCGGACCAAAGATAACACAAAATGGTGTAAAATGCCACTTAGACAAAAACAACGAACAGTTGCAAATATAATTAGGAAAAAGTCTGGACTAAATCAACACAGTATCAATATTGCCTCAAAACTTGATTCGCATAGACTGTTTCTGACAGACGAAATTATAGAAATAATTGCCCGGCATACTAATGATAAGGTAGAACAGGTAAAGTTATCGAATTATATATGGCATTATTCACTAATAATACCCATCCCTGTCCAATTTTTCAGACTTTCCAACTTGCGAATGAAAAACACCCAAATCAAACACAACCTCTACAACGCACATAGAAATAAACAGATGTTGTTGAAATAAAAGCGTACATTGCATACATTTTGATCTTAGGTGCCCTTCAAGCTTCAAAAGAACCGATAGTAATGTTGTGGTGTATTAAGAGAGGTTACACTAGACCAGTTATTCCTGCAACTATGTCTCGCTCACGTTTTCAATTGTTGACGAGTTTTTTTCGTTTTGATGATCCAAAAACAAGGGAAGTCAGAAAAAAAATTGATAAGCTTGCACCGGTAAGAGAAGTTTTTAACATATTTGTGGACAATTTCAAAAGGTGTTATAATACCGGAAGCCATATGAGCACCTAGTTGGATTTAGAGGTCGTTGTTTATATGAAAAGTGAATCAGATAAATATGGTGCAAATTTGGGCGGCAGCAGATAGTGAAAATTCATACACTATAAATATGTAACCGTACTTGGGAAAAATTAATAATACAGCAGAAAAGAGTCGTCTTAGTTCTTGACGGAGATCTAGGAACCGAATATGGCATAACCACAGATAAATTCTTTACAAGTTTGTCCATAGCAGACTAGACTATTAGAGAAACAAATGACTGCGAAACATTACAAAAAATAAATCTTATATTCCCGAAGAACTCTTGCCAAAATCTTATAAACCCATTTTTTTCGTCAATGTTTGGTTTTCGGAAACAACATACAATTGTGTCCTATGTGCCTAGCAAGAATAAGGCTGTCCTTATGTCGTCTACGATGTACAAGCCTGACATAATACTTCATTATAATAAAACAAAAGGTGCTGTAGATACTACCGATAAAATGGTAAAAGACAATTCGGCTCGTCGAATTAGTAATAGATGGCAGATGGCCATTTTTGGACAGCTATTAGACGTCGCGGCACTAAATGCATTTATATCATTGAGTGCAAAATTTCCAGACGAAAAATCAAAAAGCAAAAACAGCAGAAGCAAATTTCTTTTGGACTTAGGAGAGTCATTGATTAGGGAAAATGTCATAAGAAGATTTAAAACAGAACCAAGAATTCCCAACAGTGTCCAATCATATGTGCTAGAAATGTTTCCAGAATTGGAAAAGCAGCATGAAATCCATTACGAAGAACCTGAACGACCTGTTTCTGGACGATGTTATTTGTGCAATAGAAAGAACGATCGCTAGTCCAGGCAACAATGTTACGACTGCAAAAAATTTACATGCACTGACCATAGTGTAAACAGATAATTTGCAGATTATGTATGGAAAAACGTAAGAATTAATATGAGTAGAGGAGTTCTTCTAACTTTCTTTTTTAGCATTTTTGAGACTTGTTTATTTTGTTCAACTTTTTCGTTATAATTATATTACTTACATTAAGTATTTAATTTTGTTGTTACACTGTATATCTACGATAATTGTCGCAAAAAATGTCACAAAGCGTTCAAATTAGAGTGGGGTACAATTGTACCCCACATGGTGTTCTGCGTCACTTTTTGACAGCAGTAGGACGAAGGTTAAGTAGTGTAGACGCCCAAAATAGTATATTATGGAACAATTATGATAAACGCGAGAAACGTCAAGATGGCACCATATCGAAAACATACCATCGCTCCCAAAACCGTGACTAAAGTACAATGCTTGCGTTTAGCAGAGTGTTCATATTGAGGGTTTTTTTGTAGCCAGCAGCTAGTCAGCTAATATTGAAACCTAAAATAAAGATGTATCCGTGGAAGGTTCATTTTGGAGATACAGTCTTTTTTGCGTTTTTTTTATAGCCTTGTCAAAAAAGGTTTAGAAATATTAATTTCTTAATACCTACAAGGTTGCAGTAGTACATAATTTTACCCTGTCGAACTTTTTTGTGCTCCGCCTCTGCTATGCCAGCAAATATTTTAGAATTATTTTTTTATTAATACAATATACTATATAAAATAAAATATATAATAAGCTGTGCCGAGATAAATGAAAAAAATTATTTAATTGCTAAAAATACTAAGTGAGTCTTATTTCTCCTAATCATTGTTGATTGCCAGTTTTATCGTCAAAATACTCATTTATTATTCATTATCGCGATTAGAAACACCACAAAACTCATATAAGCTGGTCGAATACGATGGTAGAAGAAATAAATTAATACCCCCGACTAAAACCCAGTAAAGACTCCTTAACGAAACTTTTTCATGTTAAAGCTTCTTTTTCTGCTCCGAAAATGTAGCAATATTTTTCAATTCATTAATATACAGGTATACCGAGTGGCCGAGGGCGAGAGTCTTCCTTTAAAAAAAAGTCACTTCCGAATGGTATTATTCGCAAATCATTTTCCAGAAAAAAGTGTAGTGAAATGTACAGTTAATATATATATAGTTAAAACATAAAAAGATTGAAATCCGTTGCCGAAATTTTAAAAAACAATTGAATTCGATAAGTACCTACGCAGCAAAGAAGAAAAGGTCTTCTTAGTTTCCTTGTAGATTTCCCCATTAATCTTATTAATTAGAAAATCGCAAATAGTGCCGCCATTATGAATGCAAATGTCAAGTTGTGACCGAAAATCTACAATGAATTTATAATAGCAAAATTGATATCACTTCCGGTTTTAATTTTTTTGACATAAATGATGAGCGTCTTCCTGAAGCTGGACTACATATCTTTCAAAAAAATATCTTTGACGTAAAGTGTGCAGTATTTATTATTTATTTATTTATTTAGTTATAGAAAATATTTATTTTAGCACCGTTCGCTGAAATAATGGTTTTATAAATAAATTTTCTCCGATTCGTCACTTCGCAAACAAATAATTCAGGAAAAGGGAACGGATAGTTTAAACGAATAGGAAAAAGTAAAAGATACGACCGAACTGTTTCAAATTACGATCATATACGAGAAGAAAAGTATATAGTATTTGAAAGGATATGCTTTTAGGATAGCTGTTGGCTAAATTGGGTATTTAGTTTAAAAGCTCTGGCTTTAACAGAGCGTATAAAAGTTAAGCCTTCCAGGCTTTGCTGTAGTTGTTAGCGGAAATGTAGTACGGCAATGTAAAAAGTATTTCCGGTTAATTCGCGAAAAGTTTTTTTTCGAAAAACTTATCACATCTGATATCGCATTATGAAAATTAATTGAAAAACATAATTGGAACGATTTCAACAGCGTTATTATCGATGATCTAATTTCTGATAAAAACCTATAATAATCAGCTTATCGTGTCAAATATGGGACAACTACCATTATTTATATACAAAATAGACCACTGTCTTGAGAATCCTTATATATTTAATAATTCTATTTCAAGAAATAACTTTAGATCTTAATTAACGAATATTTTACTTCTAATATACAGCAATCAAATAGCAATTCTGAACTAACCAAAACAAGTGTCTTTGTGTATCAAGTGGCTTCATCCTGGAAAACAAAAAAACATCTTGTTGACTCAAAACTAAAGTATGGGTTACTGAACATGTAGTGTAATTTAATGTATTATAATTAATCAATAAGCGTCAGTATTTTTCTAACAATGTTTAGTAAAAGAGCTAGAAGGCAAAGAAGAGAAGCGAGTATGAACACCTGAAAAAAAGTGATTCGACAGACGACTTTCCTCGCTTTTTTGACAAATTTAATAAATTTTACTAACGATTGTGATAAAAACAGTTGTTTACGATTTTAGATACATTTTCTAGTATACAAAATTAGCATCAACTTCTTCACGTCAAAAGGACTACCACCTATGATCGTATAGTATAGCAACTAAAGGAAAAATAAAACTTTGGACCCAAGTTGAAGTTCGATTTCTTGAGGCGTTCAGCAGGTAAATGGAATGCTTCAAATCATCATAACAAAGAATACCACAATCTATCATACGACCAAAAATATAGTACATTTACTGTTCTGACGTTTTAAGTATTTTATAGTACCTTAGCCGCAGACCTTCTCAGGATCGTGGTAAAACTCATCCCAACAGATGTTCATTCTGCATTAAGTAGGTCTTGCCTGAGATGGACCGTAAGTAGTATTTGTAGAAACTTGAAATTTTATTTGCAATAAATAAAAATAAATTGCAATATATTCGTATATATTACAGAGTTATTTGACTGCGATCCTTCCAGTAAGTACGTATTTATGTACCTGATTCTCGAGCTTTGACCCTGCGAGGCTGTTTTCACTGTTTAGTTCAAAGTGTAAGGGTAAGTACCTGTACTCTGTTTATATTACAGGTAAAATTTTGTACTAATTTTTTTATGTACATGTTTCAAGAATTGTTAGGCTAAAAAATTGAAAACTTACTTATATCTCGCTTATTTGTGTAGTTAGATAAATTCCTGGAACGGTCCTGGAATGGTTACGGGTAAGGGTCTGCTCGAGGTCGATTGTAAAAGCACTATATTGCTGGTCGAAGTATATAATGGAGACCAACTAATATATGGATAAAAAGGAGAAGCGCGAGTATGAACTCAAAAGAAGGAATTCACAGGAAAAGAGTGGGGAAAGGATTGGAAGAACATATCCTTCTCGACACAACCAGAGTCGTCAATGAGACTGGGCATCGACAAAATAAATGACGTGTTAATAAAAAAAGCATTTTTCGATTCATAGGTGTAAGTTCTCCATAAAGACATGAAAATGGTAGCGGGAACATAACAAATTTTTAAAATCATGAAACTAACGAAGAGTTCAATTCTATAATGCGAGACGAAAGATCAAATTTCGTGTCGAATTTTACTTAAAAAAATTGCGCCAACGAAACATCTGGCTCCCACTTTATCGAATTAATCCTATCTTTGTTGCGTCGCAGCGTGTTGATTTCAAATAGAAATTGCGACGAATGAAGCCTATGTGTGTCGGAACACAGTCCAACAGTTTAACAAGATCAAAACATTAATTAACGAACGCTATTGTGTTTCAACAACTCCTATATCAGTTGCAGACCAATATGACGTTTCGTGCTAGTTACTTCCTAGGGATTTCCGTAAATTTATATACAAAATCCTATTAATACAGCATGTAATTCCGCAATCGACCAAACGAGGCAATTTGTGCCGGTTTATTAAAGCCTAGCTAAGCATTGTTCTCGGGATATACATAGATCAACGTGTCACGCTTTTTAAATTACGGATTGCATCTAAACGGGGATCTTTTGAAACTGTAATTTAAAAATATTTGCCTGCTCTACATTCAGACTGCAAATGTAATAAAGATGTTAACAAAAAAAAGTAACGCTCTCTCACTGGTCATGACACAATAAGAGTGAATGTAATAAAAAAATTAGTTTTACTTTTTACAAAACTTCTGGATTCTCCTGCGTCGGTTTTTGCTAAGTAGAACTGTTTCAGTCAAGCTCTGAAGAAGCCAACAGGATGATTGCCGAAACTTCAACAGAAACAGAAGTTTTGTAAAAAGTATTACAGTAGCATGTGGAAGTTTCTTTGAAAAAAAAATAGTTGACCCAAACCATAGCATGCAAACGCAGATTTTCATATTTATACTACTGCCACATGTTAATTTTTCAAAGAAACTTTCACAGGCTACTGAAATGCTATTCACAAATCTTCTGGGTTCCTTCTGTATCGATTGTTTATACCACATATCAACAGTTCGTAAGAAATATAACGTCAAAACCAGATTTACCACTTGTCCAAAAATCTCTCAACACCTTCGATCCGTTAAAGGCAAAAGTCAAGCACATGCCTCGATACCATATTCACGAACATGGCGGACTAAGATTACAACATTGAAGTTCTAGACCCTTGCATTTCTGACCATAAAACACAAATATTAAGAATAAAAATATTCCTTCTCTCACCACTCCAATTTTCCTATTTTTTACCTATTTTTTACCTATTGCAAATTTGATGCACTACTTTTACTAACCTTATTAACATTCACTTCCCTCCTAAAAAGGTTAAGATAAGATATTTTGCGACGCAAAAAAAAATCCGCTTGCATTAATATTTACAGAATTTCAAAATGGGAACACGAGCAAGAAATCATAGCAACAAAAAAACTCGTATTCCATAATTTTATTTTCTTCTTCTTCTTCCTCTTTGACTAGATCTATGCCCTGTTTAATCTATCGAATAGTACCTCTTGTGAAAGAGACATCCAGCTATCTCGCCATCGTTGTAGGGGTCTGCCTCGTGATCGTCTTGTGCCCGGATTTTGTGTCCTTGTCCATTTTGCTAATCTTACTGGCATCATCCCATCCACATGATCTCCTCAACAGCGTCTTTAATATCTAGTTCTATTCTAATGGATTCGCTGCGGATCCGATCTTTTATCCTCTTATCTACTTATATTCCTCAGTATTCTAATTTTCGTAGTTGGACCACACCTTTTGTCTTCGAACTTCCTCTATCACAACCTAAGTAATTGAATGTTCAATGATCTTCCAGTTTGCAACTAAGTTGCACCAGATCGGTTCTTTGCTAATCACATTAGCTAGTGTCTTTTCAGTGGAGATGATCATGTTATATCTCTATGCACTTTCCTCGAGTTTATGTAGTCGTTGTAGATCATCTTCATTCTCCGCTACAAGAACTACATCGTCCGCATAGCAAAGAATCTTCAGAGAACTATTTCCCATTCGATACCGCCATTCATTAGTTTCACAATATTGATTATTTTATCCATCACGATGTTAAAGAGGGTAGGACTTAAGCTGTCACCTTGTCCGATACCGCTCTTTATTAGACGTTCTTTGGTGAAGCCGTTTTCTGTTTTAATCCCTGTTTTACTGTTAACATTTAGTTCTTTGATTATTCAAGTAGAATGTCAATCACATGTTGGAGATTTATTCTGTCGAATGCCTCCGTCAAACCCACAAGCAAGCAAACATGGGTTTATTAAATTCTATTGACTCTCAATTAGTTGCCTAAATATAAATATGGCGTCCAGTGTGGATCGATTTTTTCTAAAACCTTGCTGCTTCTCAGAAGTCTCTATAGTCCCTGTAATTTAATTCTTAACTCAAACAATAAAAGCAAATATAATATTTCTTTTTCAGACTCAATGGGCATTCTAAATTTAAGTACCAATCACAGTTATTTTAATTAATGCTTTAATTTTTCTTATATATCAGAATCCATTATCCAAAAGTCATTTTAACTTTAAAAAATTTGTTTTGCTTAGATATCTATATTATTAAAAGCCGATTAATTAACAGTATATTATGCACCAAGTGCGGTAAACGGCATTTGACTCACGAGTTTATTTGACACGAGCGGAGCGAGTGTTTAATAAACGAGTGAGTTAAAAAGTTTACCGAACGTGTTGCATACTATACTTTTTCTACGACCGTTCGTTTTTGGGTACATTTTCGTAAAACAACACGGATACATTCACTGACGTGACCGTTAGAATTGCCAAAATTGTCAAAATTCAAAGCGTGGGAAATATCTCCGAAAACATCCGATTGTTCCCAAATCCGTGCGGTAAAATCCCGGAAATGTCCGAAGTGACTCGGATTCGTGGGAAAGGAAACTGACGTGGTAAAATGACGCTTCCCGCACGCTAGATCGACGGGTAATTGGGTATTTTACAGATGGGAGTGGAAAAAGAATGTTTCGACATCTTGGTGCCCTGTTTAACACATTTATATAATGCCTGTATAGCTTCCAGGACTTTCCTAGATCAATTTAAGTATGCAGAAGTGCACTTTTCAAAAAAGGCAGAATTGCTCTTAGACTACTTGCTAAAAATTTCATTTTTTTAATGAACCGTGGAATTTTTTACCCGGAAACTCAACTATAAAAGCGGTGCGTGAGAGTATGATATGTCAAAGAACTTGGACAAGATCTCTAGATCTATGGCCAAGAGTTTTCGCTTCAAAAAAAACATCTGCGAATTGTTATCGGTTTAGACTATAGAGAATCCTGCACAACACATTTTCCCAGTGTTAATATTATGACTTTAACTAATTTACTTTCATAGACATTAGCTTAATCGAGATTCACCCTAATAAATCAAGCTTTTCTGTTCAATCCGACACTCCTTTTACAATAAATTACCTTCTAACTACCACTTTTTTAAATTTGTTTCGTAACTTTAAGCGTTTTATACTTTTATTCATATATTATTTTATTATCCTTATATGTATTGGTTAAATAAATATCAATATGTAAGCAGGTACGGAGTAGAATGAATGCTAGTCTCAATTGAACTCTGAAGAAGCCAACAAAATGATTGGCGAAAAGTCAGCAAGTTTGATTTATAAATAACCGACACAGGAGAAAATAAATAAGAACTAAAAGTGAGCTAGCAATGAAGTAAGTTTAGTATCAGTTATCAAAAATTTCCAAATTATTCAGGTCAGGTTATACTATTATAAGATTATATTGCCTAAATCAAAGACGACACTTAATGAAAGTATTTCCATGATTGAAATTGTCAAAGCAAGTGAAAATTCATTCACTCCCGCCTCCCATTTCATTGATTAAAACATCCAGGAAAGATCGCCAGGGATTCTTTTTTTTAATCTTATTATCTTATAAAAAGAATCGCTTACGCTTTGACCTTAAGGTAAATATTTGCTGAAAGTTGAAAAGAGCGGAGAAAATGCCAGTTCATATTCTAAAAATAACAAGCAACGTTTGTTGAATTTTACAAAAGCGCTGTTCATGTTGCAAACGCAGAATAGTTTGCCAAATCTGCAACCACAAAAAGTAAAGCCAAATTTTATGTAACGTTTACATCAAAATTAATAAAAGCATAGTTATTCGAAGATTTGCTGCAGCTAAAACTTTTAATGAAATTTTCCAACAATTTCCTATAACGATCGAGAAAGTTCTCGCTGATTACGATGTTATAACCGAAGCTTTGGTAACTTTTCTATCGAATTTAGCTGCTTTTATTTGACCCCTATTATATCCAATAATTAACAAAACATTAAGTTTGCGGGCATTCCTTATAATGGAAACCGAAGCCGCTCAAACTTCGACTCTAAAGAAAAGACCTGATAATGGATACACGAATTTTGTGGGACATTAAGTTCTATTTACTTAAGTTTTTCTGACACATCAAACGCAAGTTCCTCATGTATGTGACTATAAAATATTTAAATTTTATAAAAAAAAAACATTATGAATGAATGAAAAGAAAGAATAAGTTTTCATGCATGAGAACATACTGTATATTATTTCCCAAAAAGTCTCAAAAATAAGTGTATGGTTTTTCTTCTCCTTTTTCTAAAATACCCAATTATGCACAATCGGGCGTCCGCAAAGTATCACTTTATAAGTTCTGATATTCACGTTACACGTCAATCAGTGAATGTATTAGCACTGTTTTGCAAGAATGTATTCCAAACAAATGGTCGTAGAGAAAGTAAACTTATGATAAATTTCTTCAGACACATGTTTATTAAACACTTGATCCGCTCCTCTCGTGCATAAAGAAACTCGTGGCTAAAGAGTTCTTTATAATTTAATTGTTGCGCATTATTTGGAAGGGTTCTTGTACATTTGTAGAACATTTACCGATTACTAGCTTACTATTACTATTTTAGGATACGAAAACCTAGATATACAGGGCGTCTCGATGGAATATTAGACGTTCTGGTGAAACGAAATGCAAAAATTTGGTCACTTGTGTTTTTGGCTTGCTATCTCTATATCTAGTTTATCAATATGCGAGAGTAATAAAATGTAAATTTGCAATGACATCATTAAACAGTGCTCACAATTTAAAATTTATGCCGTAAAGTACGGGTAAATTACAATGATAGTTTCTGATAAATTCCGTATCATTAAGTGGTTTATTTTTATTTTTAGATAGTATAAGTAAGAAAAAGCAGGTCCTAACCTCCAATTTTGTTTTGTTCGTACCTAGACATGGATATATGAAAATGGTACAATTGGTCTTGGCAAGGTATTAATATAAAAACTGTAAAAACTACAAAACTTCATGCGAACGATGTGTAAAACTTCTGTTGGGAACTTAAATTATAAACATCACTTTACTTACCGACTAGACTTTAATCCACTAAGTTTTAATTGTAGCTTATAGCACGTAGTATTGAAATTGTCTGATATAGTGCATAACATTTTTCTTTTAATTAAGTCTTTAATTTAAGTCACCAGTTTATTTGACACAAGCGGAGCGAGTGTTTAATAAACGAGTGATTTAAAAAGTTTGCCGAATGCGTTCCATACTATACTTTTTCTACGACCGTTAGTTTTTGGGTACGTTTTCGCAAAACAACACGAATACATTCACTGTCAGAATTGACAAACGTCAAAATTCAAGGCGTGGGAGATATCTCCGAAAACATCCGATTGCTCCCAAAAGCGTGCGTTAAAATCGCGGAAATGTCCGAAGTGGCTCGGATCCATGTGAAACGAAATTGACCTAGTAAAGTGACGCTTTTCGCAGGCCAGATCGTTGTGTAATTAGGTATTTTAGAGACGGGAGTAAAACAACTTTTCAAGTCGCTCGTTTATTAATCACTCTGCCAAATAAACTAGTAACTTAAATGCCGTTTACCTCACTTGTCGCATAATATACTAATTTTCTATTGCCTTCTGTAAAATTCCTAATTATACACCGATCTGGCGTGCGGAAAACGTCACTTTACCACCTGACGAACGAAATAATTCGGATATTTCCGGGATATTACTGCACGGATTCGGGAGCAATCGGTTTTTTCGGAGATTTTACCGCACGGCTTGAATTTTGATATTTGTTTTAAGTCACTCGTTTATCCGCTGCGCTTCGTTCTTGCAAAATTAACTCGTAACTTAAATGCCGTTTACCGCACATAATATACAATTTTATGGTACAACACTATCAGGTACTACAAAATTTCAGAGACACCGATATGAAGTAATTTGAACAATTAATGAGGAATGATGATAATAGTTTTAATATCAACTTTTTTCCTACCTAATATACTTTCCGTTTGCGATGTGCCGCACTGTATACATATAATATCCATATTATGTCAGTAAATATTTCGATGTCTCCGCCTATCTCACGCATCGCCTCACTTACCTTTTTGACTGGAAAAAATGCAGATTTTTTTTCCCACAAGTGCATTATTTCTCCAATAATTTTTATGCTACCGCAAGCGCAGGAACTCGAGAGCGGCGCCCGTCTTCGTGACGCCATCGGGCGTCGTCCGATATGGATTCAGATGCTTAAATACGATTCCGCAAGCTTGAAATATCCGCGCCAGTTTGCGAGTGGTTTATTTTGTTTTACAACGTTTACTATTATACCATCGATTACAAGTTAATTTTTTAAGTAAGTTTAATCAGTGCAGTGTGGTTTTAAAACCGAGTGCTGTCGAATTTGAGACCAATTTTTGAACAACATTTTATGCGAAATTTAGTCATTCGTAAGTAAAGCCTAATTTTATGTTATTGTCTGCTCAATGTAAAGATATGGTCTAGATGGTTGCGCATAGAACGTTACCCAAGTACTGGTGTTCCAACTAAAATATTACTCGAAGCATCTACGATGATAGCCGAAGAGTTTAAGTGAAGGCCGAAATGACAAATGCTAAACGCTTTGATTTCGACCATATAGCTCTAGATATATAGAGGCCCTGCCTATCCAGATAATACAGGCACTTTTAAAGTCACCATGAAAAAAATATCGAGGAGGGGTATTCAATATGCGCATGGGCGGTCATTTAAAATCTCATTTTCAGCGAATAAGCCCTGTCATTTCAATTCTCGATTTGCACCAATAAGACCTGGTTGCATGCAGCAGCCCACATGAGGAGCATTTTTCTTGAAATCCAATACAATGTTTCTGATTATAGTAGGTACTGTATATTAAAAATCTTTTTTAAGAGTAGCGATATTGTTTGCAGGAAATATATTTTTTTTAATATGACAACGTTACACTAACATAGAGGGAGTTTTTCACGTCCTTCTTGTACTTCTGGTTTTGCTCATTTTTGTAAGAATAGTGAGTTTTTTTAAGCTGTGGTGTTTTTGAGTCTTGCGAATACAAAGAGTGATAGCAAAAATGCTGCAATACTGTGAAGTTTGCAAAGAACTTGGCTTTCCATAGACGGGTATACTTATTTTCTTGTTTTGTGTATTTGTTGCTTAGTAGTTTCTACTGTAGACATCCAGAAAATGCTCAAATGCATTGGATGTGATTTGCATTATTTCCAAAAGTGAGTCAAGTTTATTTAATTTTACTATAACTATTTATAGGCAATATAATTATAAAAATTTAATATTGTTATATTATAATTGCCTCTCTCGAGAATTATTTGCTTCCACCTTAAGTGGTTACTTGTTTACTACAGCAACCATTCTTATTTAAGAAATACAGCTTACCCCACTCGTCCCTTGCCGAAATGTCTATATTTGTTTCACAACAACAGGTCCTGTATGATTCACTTCTGTGGTTAGAACCAAACAAACAACTAATAAAGTTACCCAATGTTATTATATCCACATCTTTTATATATTGGGCAGTAGTAATCTTCCTGCATGACTTTTCTTCTACCACTATTAATTAAACGTTACCATTTGAAAAAAATATATGTTCTCTAAAATAAACTTCGCAATAACTCAAATTATATATTAATTGAAGAATGCTTGAAAATGTTCTTCAATCCAATTATTTTCTTATGACAAACCCGACTGGTAGAGTTCTCCGTAGGATATACCGTTTTTACAACATTTTATGGTTATGACTTCGAAATGACTTTATGATCGGCCAGTTGTAAAGAGGAAGGGACCATTCTTCTCAGCACTTGTACCACAAGCCAGGGCCGTACTTAAGTCGTTAGCCGCCATAACTGAGCCTTGCGGACTGTCGAATTTTAAGAGTAGAGAAATTTTCTTTCGTTAAACTGTTATATTGATTTATTTCAGTGTGCTTTTTCAAGTTGAATTTACCCATTAGATAGGTTAATCTTCTATATTTTAAACACATTAAAAAGCTTAAACTGATTTCTAACATAAGGCTTAGACATAATGTTTATATCTTATGTAGATAATTGATTTATAATGGATGTGTTCCCAGTTTGATATTGCTTGATTTGTGGGGGTTGATGAAATCGGAGTATGCTGTCAGTTTTATGAAGCAGTATTTTCTTAGCCGTCGAAGCTTTGGAGTTATTTCTATTCCGTTTTGTGTTTATAATTTGAAAAACCCAAGAGAGATGGGGTTAGACCTTCATAAAAATTTACCAATGTTAAATACCGAGTTATGTCGTAAAAACGGTAGATCGTTTGGAAAACTCTAACTTCACAGTATTTTTGCTATTTAAAGCCCATTTTACAAGCTGCAATATTTTGAGCAGGGCTATGCAAGGAATCAGCAATATTTCAATATAATGCGGGTTGTCCACACAGGACTAACATTTTATTTTTTCTAATATATTCTAATCTAATATAATCTTAAATCTACAAATTGCCAATATGTAGTTAAGCCATTCAGGTAAAATTTATAACATATATAACATATATATCATATACTGATACGAAACATAGCGTTTAGCTTCACAGCGTGTGATTAAGTTTAACTAATACAATATCAATTAGCAAGTCCCAAGTTAAGTTGGTCAACTTGACAACAAGAAATTGGAAGCGAAATTTCGGTTGAAAATGCAAACAAAGATTCAAATGAAATAACTTAAAATTTTGTCTCATTTCAGTTTGTCCTTTAAGTAATATGGCACAATGAAAATTAGTTTCTTGGCAGTTAGCAGCATCTTATTATGCAGTTTGCGTACTGTGAGTGGCTTGCACCCCGATATAAGAAATACAAAAGCAATGTAAAAGTTTAAAGACACTTTTCTGAAAAAGGCGAAAATTTATTTTGAATTTCTTTTCCCGCAGAGCTTTCATTTATTAGCATCTAGAAAATGAGGTTTGTTAAATATTCAAGCGCTCGTTATCTTTGTGTACTCTGTTGGATATAAAACCTACCCGTTTCGACCTTCCAGTTAACAAAACACCGTTTCGAGAACAAATAAAAACGACGGGTTAAAATGATAAATTATTCCGGTACATGATTCAAATGTGTTCATTTTACGGGTTTTCTCGAAATACAATATTCTGGATTTTGTCTTGCCTTTTGATCGTTTCTTGACGCATGAAGATGAGAAGCAAAGCAACCTTTAAAATGAATTGTAGAAAATTCGCAAAAACTAACCGAAACATTAAATTGAACTGAAAATCGTTAAGATCGATCAGGAAAAAAAATGTTACGAAAAACTTGCTTTTGACGTAACATATTACATGACCAGTTTCATCAGTGTCTGAAGAAGAAGCATATGTGTGTAATGAGTAATGTGTAATGTGTAATGTAATGAGGTTAGTCTAAAATGTTTACACAGAAGCCGAAGAGGTGTCAGTGTTTTATTGACTGATGTTTATCTTGACGTTTATCCCTTTTGATGGCGATTTCCTACGTTACTCAGTAAAAGTATTCGTGCTGCAAAAATGTACGCAAAAACTAATGGTGGTAGAAAAAGTATAACATCTTCAGATATTCGTTTATCATTAAAATACTAATTTAGTTCGTGTATAATTTTAAAGTAAGTTTTTTGGCCACGAATTTTCTTGACAAATGGCAATATCGAAACCTCCAAAATTTCACCTTTTCGAGATCGTGAGAAGAGTTGGTGGACAAAATTTTCAAAATTAACTCGTTTAACTAACTGAGGTGATCCCTCGAATTTTGTGTTTCGCGTTGTTTTTTGTCAAAAATGATTTCTAAATGTTCGAGTTACCGATTCTGGTAAGTACCATCATCAGACTTCATCATTTTTACATAGTGATAATCTCTCTCACACTATCAACTTTGCACGAAATCTACAAATGTTCTAATTAAACTCGTTGAAACCTACTTAGAAATCTCTCTAATGCCCCACTAATTCTCGAAAATGTTTTCATGGTTTCAAAGGCGTGGAATTCAAATGCACTTATAAAACGGCTCTGTTAATATTTTTGGGTATATTCCATTTGGCTAGTTTTGGTTAGTCATTTATACAGTTCTCCAAACGCTATACCGCTTTTACGACATAATCCGGTATTTAACTATTAAATTTTTATGAAGGTCTGCAGGCCTACCTCGCTTGGGTTTTTCTTATTCATCAATGATTATTACATCAACCACAATCTTAACTTCTTAGTCACTGGCCATCGCAAGTGACAACGTTGAATAATGTTAGTATTGAGTAAGAAATAAATTGTATTACAATGTACGAGAGGGTACCCATAAAAAACCGGAATTGAATTGCCGCGCGCAGAGCTTGTACAGTACACCTTTCTGCCGCTAAGTTGTGGATAGTACAACTTATTGCGAGTTCAACGCCACCTTCGTTTTAAACTTAACTTGTTTTGTTTACTTGCAGTGCCAATTTTTGTTAACGCTGTTTTTTTGTTATTTCGTTTTTTTCGATGGCAAGTTTAAAAGAACAACGTGCAGCTGTGAAATTTTGTTTTCTGCTCGATAAAAGTGCTGCTGAAACTGTTTCAATGTTAAAAACAGCTTATAAAGACGATGCGATGGGAAAAACTCAAGTGTACCAGTGGTTTGTTCGCTTCAAAAATGGCGACGAGTCAATTGATGACCGACCTGGTTCTGGACGTCCATCAACTGCTCGAATCGACGAAAATATTGAAAAGATTCGAGAGTTTGTGCTCACAGACCGTCGACAGAGAATTGAACAATTATCAAAGATTAGTGGGTTGTCTTGGAGCACGGTTCAACGAATTTTAACGGAAGATTTGGGAATGAAAAGAGTTGCTGCCAAGTTTGTTCCTCTTGTTCTGACTGGCATGCAAACAGAACATCGATTTGAAACATGTCGTGCTTTGAATCAACAGCTTGAAACGGATCCAGATTTTCTTACAAAGATCATTACTGGTGACGAGATATGGTGCTATGGTTACGATCCAGAAACGAAGCAACAGTCCAGCCAATGGAAGACGTCACTGTCTCCCCGTCCAAAAAAATGTCGCAGGTCAAATAAAACATCAAAACGATGCTGATTTGCTTTTTCGACATCAACGGCGTAGTTCATGCAGCGTTCGTTCCACCAGGTGAGACCGTTAATCAAGCTTTTTATCTGGGAGTTTTAAGAAGATTGCGCAACAGTATTCGACAAAAAAGACCCGATTTGTGGCGGACATGGGACTGGTTCTTTCACCACGATAATGCACCTGCATACACAGCCATTTCTGTTAAGCAGTTTTTGGCTAAAAATGGCATGGTTCCTCTGCCCCATGCACCTTACTCGCCTGATCTCGCTCCGTGTGACTTCTTCTTATTTCCACGTTTGAAAAGGGACATGAAAGGACAGCGATTTGACAACATTGAGGAGGTCAAGACAAAAACGAGGGATGAGCTGTCGGCTATAGCCAAAGATGAATATAAAAAATGTTTCGAACAGTGGAAGCACCGCTGGGACAAATGTATTAGTTCTAATGGAGAGTATTTTGAAGGGGATAAGGTCGTTCTGGGATTTTCAAAATAATATATAGTTTATAAAAAATGATTCCGGCTTTTTTTGGATACCCCCTCGTATATGGTACCTCAATAAATATGGCACACTGAATCTTGAAAAACAATTGAATAACAGCAAGTTAATTATTACTAATTACAAACACAAGACGATATAGAAATAACTCCAAAACTTCGACGGCTAAGAAAATACGTTTCATAAAACTGACAGCATATTCCAATTTCACCAGTCCCCACAAATCAACCAATAACAAATTGCTTCCCTTGGAAAATAATTTAGAGTCATTTCTTTCTAACATAATATAATATAATACAAGTTTACAAGTTAAAAGTCTTATCGCTGTTCACTAAGAATGTCCTTTAAAAATAAAAGATTTACGCCCTACATATGTTACATTAAACTTCAACTCAGTCACTACGAAAAATTTATATGCAAATTGATTCGCGGCATTTTTGATTAATTGTAGGTGTACTCAGGGCGTTGGAACACGTACATTTTATTTCGTGAAAATTGGTCCCAATGACCCGTAGCAGCTCAAAAATCCAACATGGAATGATTTGTTGCACACAAATCGCTATCGTAATTTTATTGTTAATGATTCTGAACGAGTTCCGTTTGAGTGAGGGCGCTGGAGATAGCTACCTGAAGCGATACTATCCAGGTAAGTTTTTCTGCAAGTGTAAGTGAATATTTCTAGAAAATTTTATAATTTTTGTTGAGTTGAGAGAGCTTAATAAATGCGATTCATAAATATTCGAACAAAAAACGAGCTTAATTAAGTTTAAACGAGAAAAACTGATGGTGATGACACCAACTGCATCTATCATAAATTAATAAACTCAATATAATAGATAGATTGTAACGCAATTTACATTTGAAGCACTTACCTAATCTTCAGTTTAAAATTTTCGCCAATAAACTAAAAAAATAACACATTTATCCTGTAAAGTTTGATTCGCCTAATACATATAAATTGCCTTTCTCAACTCCCATGACTTGAGAAGCGAAATCCATAAACACACACACTGATATCTATAGTCGCATTGAAGAACATAAAAAAAATTTATTTGTGTATGAGCGTACGCGTGTGTGTATTGGCAAATATGAAAACAAATTTCAAAACATTTCATTTTAGTCCTCCTCGTGAAAGTATTAATATAGATTGTTTCATTATTGTAAACAGGATTGAAAAGTTTGCAGGAGAAACAAACACATTTTTTAAATATTATAATCTTTTTTTAAACTACCATTAGACTGCAATAACTGTAAATAAAAATGATTTACTAGTATTTATTTTTATTGATCAAAAAATAAATCCAGTAATCCTATTAACAATTAGATTTAAAACACCGAATCTTTAAATACAGTGACATATCTGAAACAATCCACTTTATCATTCAAACTTAACAACCCCTGTGTTGTACCGCCAAGAGAAACCTCGGGGGCTATAAAAACAGACTGCGTTCCATGAAGTGATGAGGCGGACAATAGATTTAAGGAGGGCGAGGCAACTTATATTTATTCTGAAAACTTGGGAGTGGAAAACCGGTTAACTCAAGGAACTGCCAGATCGGAAAATCAGTCTCAGTCTTTTCAAAATAGCTGACTTACGTAAATTAAAAACTAATATACGTAATAAATAAACAAAATAGTTATAATATACGATTTGTCAAAAAATTTACACCAACGGACAAGTAATAGTATATTATGTAACAAACGTGGTAAACGGAGGGGAGTAGAAAAAATATAAAACTTGTTACATAGAATGTTATTTTTTACCTAAAAAAATTGAATTTATTTGCTATGAATTTAGAAGAACATTTAATTTGTTTAAATTGTCAGCAAACAAAAGTAAGACTTTTTAAGTCACTCGTTTATTAAACACCTGCTCCGCTGCCCTCGTGCCAAATAAACTCGTGAGTCAAATGCCGTTTACCGCACTTGTTGCATAATATACTATAAACGACGAGTAGTTGAAAGTTTTGATGTTCTACTTGCCTATAAGAAAGTTGAAATGTTATCAACCGAAATCCCTGCAGAGATAATGAAGGAAGGTAATGACTATAAGATTAATACTTCTCATGGCTTATTAACAATTTTAGTATGTATATATGCAATTCGAAGAACAGTTCTCCTTCTATTACATTACCCGCAGACAGAATCTTGATGGAACTTGGATTAGAAAGCAGTATTACTTTAATGTTAGAAGACTTCTTTGGAAAACTTTGAAGAGAAGCATAATGGCAAAATATTTTTTCTACTCCCGTCTGTAAAATGTCTAATTACATCTAATTACCCACCAATCTTGCGTGCGGGAAGCGATGTTTTCGGAGATATTTCCCACGCTTTGAATTTTGACGTTTGTCAATTTTGAAGGTCATGTCAGTGAATGTATTCGTGTTGTTTTGAGAAAATGGACCCAAAAACTAACGGTCGTAGAAAAAGTATAGTATGCAACACGTTCGGTAAACTTTTTAACTCACTCTTTTATTAAAAACTCGCTCCGCTGCGCTCCGTTGGTGTCAAATATACGTGTGAGTCAAGTGCCGTAGGCCGCACTTGTTGCATAATATACTATTATTTGACAACAATGAGATTGTTTGTTGACGGCAAAATTCTTGAAAAGTTCTACATCGATCAGAAAAATACATCGAGACTTGGTGACAGCTTGATTAAGGGGCATTGTATATTACGAAAAATGTGACGACAATATATAAAAAATGTTGCTACTGATAGCCAAACTCATGGAAATTTGGACGAAAGGTATTAAAGGAAGAAAACTAATAGTTGTACACTCTAGAAAGGTATATGGATTCCTAAAATGGAGTTAACTGGTATTTCAATCATCACTAGGATATAAATATCGATGTTTTGGAAGATGGCTATGGCGAATACATTCACTGACATGACCGTCAGAATTGGCAAACGTCAAAATGTAAGGCGTGCGGTAAACTCCGAAAACATCGGGAGTGGCTCGGATCCGTGGGAAACGAAACTGACGTGGTAAAGTGGCGAATTTTTTATCAGTTTGCCACTTTCGTTTCCCACTGATCCGAGCCACTTGGGACATTCCCGGGATTTTATCGCAAGAGTTTGGGAGCAATCGAATGTTTTCGGAGATATTTCCCACACCTTGAATTTGACGTTTGTCAATTCTGTCGGTCATGTCAATGTGTTTTTTTTTGAAAAAATGTACCAACAAAACTAATACACAGAAAAATATTATATTGGGTTGTTCGGAAAGTCATTTCGTTTTTTTTTGGGGAACATGAAAGACAGTTTTCGTATAATGAATAAATATTTTATTAAATTATATATTGGCCATTCTGGTCCAACACCTTTTGCCATCTTTCTGGCAGTAACATAATTCCCCTCTCATAAAAGTTTTGGTCCTTGCTGGCAAAAAACTGGTTCAGGTGGTTTTTGACATCTTCATTTGAGGTAAAGGTTTTGCCATCCAAAAAATTTTGCAGAGACCGGAACAAATAGTAGTCGGAAGGCGCCAGATCTGGAGAATATGGTGGATGTTGCAGTACGTCCCATTCAAGCTGTAAAAGTTTTTGGCGAGTGACCAAACTTGTGTGAGGTCTCGCATTATCCTGGTGGAACACTCCAACCTTCCTGTTGATTAATTCGGGCCTCTTCTCTTTAAGTGAATCATTCAATTTGTCCAGTTGATGACAATAGACTTCTGAATTAATCGTTGTATTGTCCGGCAAAAGCTCCAAAAAAACGATTCCTTTGACATCCCACCAAACTGAGAGCATCACCTTTTTTTGGTGAATGTTGGCTTTTGACACGCTTTGAGCCGGTTCATCTTTTCTGCTCCATGACCTCTTGCGTTTAACATTGTTGTATACAACCCATTTTTCGTCCCCAGTAATAATCCGCTTCAAAAATGGATCATTTTCTTGACGTTTGAGGAGCGAATCACACACGTCAACGCGACGACACAAATTCGCTCCGTAAGGACATGGGGCACCCACACATCGAGCTTCGAGGTTAAGCCCATGCCTTTCAAATGACCATAAACAGTCGAATTCGACAAATTTAATCTCTCACCGATCTCTCGTGTGGTTATTCGCCGATTTGCATCAACTAATGCCTTTATCGCATCTTTGTCAACTTCGACCGGCCTTCCAGACCGTGGTGCATCTTCGACATCAAAATTGCCGGATCGAAATATTGCAAACCAGTTCTGGCACTGGCGTACTGTTAACACGCCTTCTCCATACACATCCGTCAATTTTTTTCTCGCTTGGACAGCATTTTTACCTTTTCTGAACTAAAAAAGTAAAATATGACGAAAATGCTGCTTATTGCTCTCCATATTTAAAAGGGCACCAACCAAAATCTACTGCGTAGAATTAATAGAACTTTTTCACACACAAGCCTTGCAATATCAGCTCTCAAGACATGTAATGGTTATGCGGCTTAAGTGTGAAGTTGGTTTCGAAAAAACGTAATTAAGTCCTCTGACGGGAAAAAACGAAATGACTTTCCGAACAACCTTATACAATATATCAGACAGAAATTTGACATACCGTTCGCATGAAATTTAGAGATTTTTGCAGTTTTTATACTAATATCTTTCCAAGACCAATTGTACCGTTGTCAAATATCCAAGTCTCATCAGTACAAACAAAAGAAAATTGAAGTTTCCGACCTTGTTTTGCTTTCTTATACGATCTTACAAATTGAATCCTCTTAAAAGCTCTATCCTTGGATGATTTTTCTTCCAATTACAGTCTTTTTCCTTAAATAAACTACTTAATGATCAATTGTAAAAGTTAAATAAACAATCTGTCTAACGTACACAGTTAAAAAGAAACAACATTAGCAGAACCGATCGGAACGATAAACGAATAGGTTTATGGCAACTAGTAAATATTTTGTTTGAGTGGTACGAAATTGAGTATTCCCATAATCTGTCTTTTTTTTTTTAATTCTGATTTTTTCGTTACGGTCGTGGAAAAAGTATAGCATGCAACACAAGACACTGGTTTATTAAACACTCGCTCAGCCCGCGCCAAATAAACTCAAATGCCGTTTACCGCACTATTTGCATAATGTACTATTACTTTTCTTTGCTGACATTTAAACAAATTTAATGCTCCTCCAAATTCGTGAGTCAAATGCCGTTTACCGCACTTACTATACTATAAACGACGAGTAACTGAAAGTTTTGATGTTCCATGCGTCTTTAGAAAAATTTAAATCGTATCAACCGAAATTCCTTCCGAAAGTTCTTTCAGGAAGATGATGAATGTAAGATTAATACTTCTCATGGCTTATTAAAAATTTTGGTTTGTATATATGCAATTCGAAGAAAAGTTCTCCTTCTTCTTCTTCCAGTGCCTGCTTCATTCTAGTGAAGGTTGGCCATCATCCTTTGGAATTCTTCGCAATCTTCAGTCATGCGTATAAGATTTACGGCGGAACGAATCACGATGGTTTTTCAACCATGAAAATCTTTTTCTACCCAGGCCGCGCCTGCCTTCCATCTTTCCTTCCATGATCAGCTGTAATACGGCATATTTTTGATTTCTAAAAATGTGGCGAAAATAGGAGGCTTTCCTTCTCTTGACAGTGGTTAGTAATTCTCGTTCTCTGTTCATTCGTCTTAGCACATCTTCGTTGGTCACACGATCCGTCCATGGT